TCTCGGCTCGCCGCGCCCGCCTGGTGTCGGAGGACGGCCGCCAGCATTTTCGCTTCGACCGCGCCAGCGGCCGCCTCGTCGTGGCCGACAGGCTGGACCGGGAGCAGCTGTGCGGCCAGGCCGACACCTGCACGCTCCCCTTCGAGCTGCTGCTGGCCGACCCGCTGCAGTTCTTTCGGGTCGAGGTCACCCTCGAGGACGTTAATGACCACTCTCCCGTTTTCCCCGAGGAAAGAGTGTCTTTTGACATTCCCGAAACGAGCGACCCGGGCTCTCTTTTCCCTCAGGAGGTTGCTCGGGACCTTGATGTTGGCAGCAACAGTGTACAGGCATACAGCATCTCTCCTGAGAACGAGTACTTTAGCATCTCCTATGGGAGTCGGAGTAATGGGGACAAATTTGTTGAACTTTTTTTGGAAAAGGCCCTAGACAGAGAGGAGCAGGCAGAAATGGATTTCAGTGTGATTGCTGTGGATGGGGGCTCTCCACCCAGGAGTGGGACCACCCAAATTCACATTACAGTTCTGGATGTCAATGACAACTCTCCAGTCTTCACACAGGATCGGTACACTGTGCAGGTTTTGGAAAATGCATCGGAGGGTTCTGTTGTATTGACCGTGCTGGCAACTGATAAGGATGTGGGAGTTAATGGAGAAATCTCCTATCAGTTCAGTCACGCAGTGAGCCAGAGTGACTCAGCGTTTGATATTGATCCCAGGAGTGGTGAAATTAAACTCAGAAAGCCCCTAGACTTTGAGGTAGCAGGGACCCACGAACTCAGCGTGAGAGCCAGAGATGGTGGGGGGCTCTCGGCAATCTGCAAGGTGGTGGTGGAGGTGTTGGATGTGAACGACAATGCACCCGAGCTGGTGGTCAGTTCCTTCAGCAGTCCCCTCCCTGAGAACTCAGCGCCCGGCACGGTGGTTGCCCTCTTTACTGTCAGGGACCGGGATGCCGGTGCCAACGGCAAGGTGTCCTGTGCCCTCGACGATCAGCTCTTCTTCTCCCTGCGGCCAGCCTATAAGAATTACTACGAGCTGGTGACTGTGAGGGCGCTGGACCGGGAGGACACGGCTCAGCACATCCTCACTGTGACAGCAGCAGACGCGGGGTCCCCTCCTCTCACAAGCACCCACACCTTCACCGTGGACATCTCGGATGTCAACGACAATGCCCCCGTCTTCAACCAGACATCCTACACCATGTACGTGCGCGAGAACAATGCACCCTCTGTGCTGGTGGGAGCCGTGAGCGCGGCAGATGCCGACGTGGGGCTGAATGCCAAGGTGACCTATTCCCTGTCAGCAGGGCAAGCGGCGGAGCGGCCTTGGTGCTCGTGCGTGTCTGTGAACTCGGAGAGCGGGCAGGTGTTTGTGCTGAGAGCCCTGGACTACGAGCAGCTGAGGCAGAGCGAGGTGGTG